TCAAAAATATCATTGTAAAAAACAAAGAAGGAAATCGGAAGGGATTTGCTCCCGATACAAGTCAATCTCAGTAGGGTTTCAAGGGTTTACTGACCTTGGTGAGCTGCCACAAAACGATCTGCAGTGCCGATCTTTCTGTAACTTCGCAAAGTGTTCTGAACATTCTCAATAAACTTTCTTGTTCAGTCTCCGAAGGGTTCCGGGTTGCAGTATTCGAAAGATAGGAAGAGGTCTCTCGAGCGTGACATTCAGCCACTGACCGAGATAAAGCTGACTTTCAATCTGAGCGCTTCGACAATGTTGCCCCGGCCAACTTCGCTATCAAACGACTGATAACAGCGGTGTTTGAATCGGCAGTCTTCGGCATTGTGACCATCCATGACAATCTATGGGCGCTTTTCCGTAGCTTCTGGGGTCAGACGTGTAATTCCGCGATGCTCAATGCAAACCTCCACCGATTTTCTTCATATTTCACCCATATGTACTGTCCAGGATGCAAGTGAAGTGTGCAAAGTCTGAAATGTATTGGAGAGGAAGGGAGGGAGATATCCATGAAATACGTTATGGGTCGTAGCTTCTGGGGTCATGCTAGTAATAGGCGCAGGCTATCGTTCAACGTGAGCACAATGTCCATTGGCTTTCGTCGGGTAGTCGGGATTCGGACCTCGGACTGGCAGCGATCTTACTTTGTGTGTCCCCTCTTCCTCGACTTTCGGCGGATCGCATCAGTGATAGCTAGATTTTTTCCGTAAACGCAACTCAGTTGGTGTAAAAGGCGAAACACAGGTGAGTACAGGTATTAAGATCAATGTCAGTAGTATACAACAACTGGACTCCTAACCCATGAGTGGCGCCGCCGGAAGGCGCTGAAGGAAACTAGTAACTTCAACGTCATGGCAGGAACGGTGCCATCTACGGCGAACGTCGGGAGAGTGATTCTATCAGCGGATTTCTCGGCCAGAAGAGCACATTATGATCTCACAGGAGCCCTAAGGAGTATTGATTTGGGCCGCTGAGGGGCGGGGTGCTGTATGTCGCCGTCATTTGCTCTTGGAAGACCATCTGTATAGATCGCCAGTAGTACCAGAAAATTTCAGTGTGTTCTATAGTATATAAAATTCCCGAATCGTCAGGCTCACAAGCAAACCATGACTGGTGGAGAGCACCGCAACTTGTGGGGTTTTGTCTGCCCAACCAATTGATGTTCTTTCTTCCAGTTTCAGAACCAAGAGAATCTTGAGTGCGTCACATGCCTCGAGTTTAACCGACCACCTCAGATCAGCCGGAACACCTGCCTCGACGCTTCATGTCAATATGCTGACTGGTTGGGATATCATAGTCCTTGACGCACCCAGATCGTGCGCCTTGCGCGGTGGTTTTGTCTAGCAATCACAGGCTCAGAGCACCGTTCATAGAGATTCCGGCCATGAGCTCCCCCTCTGTGACTAAGGCGCCTTCCAACATCCCTTCTCTGAACGGATCATCCGAGAACTCGGCCTCCTCCCCTTCATGTTCCTGTTCATACTGCGCCGGCACCTGATAGTGGCTATGTGGCCTAGTCCTGACTGTTGCGCCCAGGTTGCCGACAACATTAGAAGACGTCACCCGGAATCCAGGGAGCCCGCGGAAGCTGAGTGTGCCCGCATCCACTGAATCTCCACTATACGAGTCCGTAAAATAGATCCCCCGGAGATTGAGCATGAACTGAGAGAGGATGATGGCCGTAAAGCTATGGACACAATAATGTCAGTAGGAGTATCAAGTCTGCGTGTCCACGTACACCTCGCAGAAGTACGGCCAGACCATGAAGAGCATTGCCTTCTGTTACCCAAGACCAGGATGTCAGGGCGAATTAGTCGATGCCGAGCCGAGGTACCCAACCACGTACGGAATTCTGAAAAACCGGCGGATGTTAGGATACGTATCGACTCGCGATTATGACCGACAAAGAGCCTGAGAGCTACCGGATAGAGCTGTAAGACAGCATTGAGAAGTAATAGCCTGAACAGATTTGTACTCGTCTGTTCAGATGTTAAGATGTTGTGAGTGCAGGGCCTACATAAAGTAGAGGGTGCCTGCGTCGACGATGCAATGTCAAACCTGGCACAGAGACAGATACTCGATTTAGCTACATACATACCATCCCTCATGAGGACCCTTGCAAGAGATGTCCGGACATGAAATTGTATTGAAACCTTGACGATGGAGAACGTCTTGACCCAAGTGACTATGACGAGGATGGCGTTGGCCGCAATGGCGGTGGACACGGTAGCAGTCGTCACTAGGAAATAATGAATGATTTATCGGCGGGATCACCTGCGTCCAACTGCTCTCACAGCTGCGAGGCCTTGAGTTCAGAGTGAGGAACGGATCGTGTACAATAAGAACGCACTGTGTAACAATCTGCGAGGAATACTGGTAATCGTATTGGCAACCAATGGAGGGGCCGGCCTGGTAGGCAGTATATGATGCAGTCTCGACCTAGGAAAGGGTTGACGAAGCCGGGCATCTTGCACATGTGCATAACTTACCAGGAGGATGACGGGAATGGTGAGAGTGAGGGGTCCTACTACAAGCAAGAACTTCCAGTCCTTGGCAGAGATCCCATATAGCCGGAGGTTTGTGAAAGCCGCAACTCCTAAGTAGTTTATGAGGTAGAGCATGTCGTCGACATGTGTCAACACACTGCAGGACTGTGATGTTCTAGTCAATGTCGTGGACAGGAGAAAAGGGGAGTACTCGAAAGCGGAATACTTTGTCGTTGTTGTACCGCATCAGCTCCGATAATATAATGATCCGGTCGATGAGCATAGAATAGTGTATGCAATAGTAGGAAAATGTCGCTCCGGTCAGCCGGCGCGTCCACATCCGTTGTACCTCCTCCGCGAACGTCAAGGCAAAATCGTAGCATATAAGTGCTGACGAACACATTTGAGAAGCATTCATGAGATTGAAGACAGGTGAGTGACCTACTCGCGGATGATATAATACAACAGCGCTCGATAAACCTAATTGTCACGGACGTTGGACAGACGCCCCTTTTTGCCGCCCATTCCCCTCCCTTTGACGCCCACCTTCCATTTGCGGACCATTTCCTTTCTTAGCCCATCCCAGTTTGGACACTACGTTCCCACACCCGCATGCTACGTTCCCGTGATCGCCATGCCTTTGCCTTTTCCTTCCCGCCCTTTGTTCTCCCTTTGTCATCTTCACTGCCTCGCTCTCGCGCCATGTCCTTGGTTGCTAAGCAGCCCCTCTAGTATATAAGGACCCACCTAGGCGCTCCCTAGTCCCCATCTCGACCTCTTGGTCATTGGGACTAGGTGAGTGACCATAGCGTGTACTTCCCCTCGAGTGCTAATGTATAACTTGGTCATTGGGACTAGTCTGTCGCTGTCTGCGTGAAGACTAGCTTTCGTCGGTCTCGTGCCTTCGTGCCGACCGCCGCTCTGCCCTGTCGAGTTTTCTGATACGTTTATCCCTCTTACCCTCTCTTCTCCCCTTTCGGCTCCTCGCCGCTCGCCTACGAGGTCGTCGCCGAACGACGACCCGAGTCTACGCGCCTAGTCGCCGCGACATTAGGTCGAGATCTCTCCCCCGGTGCTGACGCTCTGAAC